GAGAAGGACCAGAAAACCATCTACACTGAAATGCACCTCTTGCTGACAGCTCTGCACTACAGAAGGATTTTTCTGCAACTCCAGAGAGCTCCACATCTCCAAGTCTACTTCAGCCTGCACTTGCAAGAGCTCCACAGGGGAGTCAATGCAATCACCAGCAGCTTTGGCTGTTCCCCCTCCTACTCATTGCCAACTGCTTCTGCATGCTGTGGGCTACCTTCTTCACCCACTCCTTAAAATAGAAGAGAAGTTGAAATAATTTCCTTTCATGGAGGGCTTCCTGCCTTTGGGTTTCTATGCCAAGCTTTATACAGGCATAAGACTAGGGACTGATCTGGTGCAGAAAACAGTAAAGATAAAGGATGCAAGTTCTGCTCTGATATATCATGGCACATCGAGAATAACTCTGCTGCAAGAAGGAATTCATGGTTGTGTCATAAAGGGCAAGATTTGTCCGTAACCCTGTCTGTGTGCAAGCACAGCAAAGTTACTGTGTGTACATATGAACTACCTTCTGTGGTTCAGAAGAAGTGAAAATGGTGGGTATGTTTAACTGTATCTGTGCTTGACGTACCCTCTTCACAATATGCTAAAGCAGTAAACCAAGATTTTTTTCCAAGCAAGCTAGCAATCTAGTCCTAAATCCTCCATGGTTTCCTTTGGGAGTGGATCCTTTTTCCCTTTTCCCCCCACAAAATAGCTGGAAGCTGTGCTGTCATTTGTGCCAGCCTGTAGGAAGTTAGCATGTGAAAACTCAGTGAGAGCCGTTGCTGAGAAATGGGAGGATAATTATTTCTACATTGTTTAACTTACTCTCTTGCCCAGGTACACACATGCACCAAGATGCATGTGTCCCAGTGCCCTAGCCAGGATTGCTCTGTGTCTGACATGAAGGACAAGGTAGATCCCTTGTAAAGTCTTCACTACATGTCTTCGGTTGCTTTTGACTGGTGATGACGGACTGGGTTTGAACAGGTCTTTTATCTGCTTTAGGAGTCAGCACTTGTAATGAAGTAATACTTTTGCTGCAGTAGTTTTGCTTACTTCAGCCTCCAAGACCCTCAGGCAAGGCTGCTGTCTGTTTTATTCATTCATTTTGGGTATCTGTATGGCTACAGATCTGTCTCTTTGACGAATATCAGAAAAAGAAATAACAAGTGCAGTATGCTGTAACTGTTTCTGTCATCCTTCTACTACAAGGGCTCAGGTCTTCTACTAATTAATCATCTGTGCTGTGGCCATATCCAATCTAGTCTTGATGCCAATAACACAATCCTCAGTGTTTACCAGTTTCATGGCTACCAGTTAGGTCCTTGGATATCAATACAGCCCAACCCTGCAACCCTTGCTCTATTATCTTTTGTTCTGCTGTTTTCATATGTGATTTGTAGTTCATTCATAATAGTCTAGTATTTGTGTTACAAATCTCTACATGATGGTCATCATTAGCTGAAAGATGGTCTGATGGGGCTCCATGGTCATACTTGGCCTAACAGGGTTTTATGAATGTTATCTAGAGCCTGTAACACTTGCTCTGCCCCAACAGTCAGATTTGTCACCTGGAAATCTCTTCTTCTCTGTTCCATCAACAGCGTGTGTCTTCAGCACAGGCAAGATGAATAATTTTAGTCTGTCCTTATGTGTTTGAATGAGGGATTGCTCTTTACAGGCCTTAAAATAGGGAGCGACTTTTTAGAGATTTGAAAATGGAACTTGGGACCTTAAGTCATCATGCATTTTTGAAAGATGCGCTCTGCACCCATATCGTGTTACTGCTCAGCTGCATAGCTTTTCCTAGGCTATCTGAAAGTGGATCTCTACTGCTGTGTTCCAAAGGGGGGTTATTTTAATATTGTACTAAAATACTGACAATGAAAACTTGCTACTTTAATTAGGCAGTAAGCACTGTCATCCTGGGTCTTAAGATTGTGAGTAAGCAGAGGTTGATTGCTGAAGTAAAGTTAATTTTTACCATTTTGGTGTTCACAGGATTTATTTCACTGCAAATGCTATTGGTGTCTCCCTTGACACCTTCCAAATTTCACTGGGCGCATGAAGTCAGGACAACATGCAATCTGAAAATCAAAAGGTAACTGGAACCAGTTACTTCATGGGCCAAGAGGACAAGTTTAACCAGAATGAGATATCTTTTAGAGGAGACATGGCTTCTCTTATTGAATCAGAAGCTCCAGGATTTACACAGTAGTTCATCTTCAGACCACTTTGCTAATACACAGAAACTCAGCAACCTGCTGGACACAGATCAGACTACAGAATGGTGCAAGACTCATTTCAGCTCCACTGCAGAATTGCTGAGCAGTACGAGACTACAGTAGGCACTTCATCTCCCAGCTGCACGCCATTTGGTTGTAGGCCAGATACCAGGACTCTTAGTCTTATAGGGGCCAGATGTTGCAGTGAAATCACAATTTTTAGCTATTTGTTTTGGTTTCCAGATCAAGACAGATAAGTCCCAATTTTTGCAAGCAAGCTGTGTGGTCATGTTTTCCTTACAAGTATGCCATCATCTCCACTTTCCAGACAGGCTGACTAAAAGCCAAAGCAATGCATCCCATAGATTTGGCAGAATTTATCCCAGTTTTTTGTACCATCATCCAGTACTCATTCTAGGACCAAGAGTACCAGGATGCAACAGGATGTGTCCCACCAAGTGTTCTTTTGACTTGTGTCATTCACTGGGAATCTGCAGCTCAGGTTAGAGAAACTCTTGTACTCCATACCTTGGCTTTGCTATGAGGCACTTGAAAAATGAGACACAAAGATGTACATCATTAGCTTTGAACAAAAGCCAATAACGGAAAGCCAGCTCTGCAACGTCCTCTCTCAATCCAAATGCTGTTTTGCCTGCTGATTGGCAGCTGTATTCTGATTTCCCTCTTGGGACACTGATCATAAGCAAACTGCAAAATTATACTTGAAACAGCCTCTGGGAAAAACCAAAAATCTTTGGAAAGAAAATATTAGAATGTATATTTTACAGACAGTGATGGCTGTGACATTAGGCAGTATTTTTAGAAGTCACATGCATGGGGAATGAGCAGGTCTTCACACTGTAGCATAAGACAGACTAGGAAATCATCCCTGTAACGGCGACCCTGGGTTTGGTTTCTCCCTGGTGCTGGCCTCTTACAAAGACAGCAGCTATGCCAGGGGGGGTGTAAAATACTAGCATTATTCCTTGATAAAAATTATATACACACTTTGCATAGCTGACAAATCACAAAATTAAATAGAAGGCAGGAGAGGAAAGGGTCTGAAGGTTTTCACTGCAAGTAAAAAGCAGAAGATATTCCAAGTGCAGCTTCAGCAAATGCAGAGAGGCTTTGAAACACCACCTGGCACAAGCCAGGGTCTAGTCCAGTGGTTCCCAATCTTTTTATAGTTGAGCTTCTCCCAGGAGAATAATAAGTATTTCCTATGTCACTGAATCTAACTGCTCACCTGCCTCAGAGCTGCCATCTCCCACCACCCTGTTTGCTCAGGGTGCTCCTGCTTGAGAGTCTGCAGTATCTAAGGCCTCATATTACATGTTAATGTGAAACTGGATGTCATGCCGGGTGTGCTCAGTTCAATCACGCTTCCAGGTACTCTCCTTATTAATGTGCAGGGATCTCAAATGACATAGACAATGCAAATACTGTGCTGCGAAAAGCTGACAGGTATATTGGAAAAGTGTATTTGAGTACCTCTCAGCCCTTTTTCTTCCATTAACATCTTAATAAGTCCTGTGAAAATGATGAAGTTGAAAGTCTGATGTGTTCAGCTCCAAAGAAGCTGAGACAGCAAAATGAGGGGAAACAAGAGCTAATGGAAGGAGAGGAAAATTAAGATTCTCATACATCATTGCAAAAAAAAAGAAGAGATTATTTGAGTTTATGGAAAAGAGACAGTGAAACGGTGGGGATGTATGGCCCATTTCCTTTTTTCTTCTTCTTTAACACATTACCAAAACCCTTGTCTTGCAAACACAAATAAAATTGCAGCCATGCAAGAGGCACATACCCTCCCAAAAGAAATGTGATCATTTGGAAGGCATCTCAGTGAAAAACATGAACACATCAGTGTCCCCAGCTACATGTAACTCAAGATCAATGCTCCAGCCTGTGTGCCCTGATCAGCAGAATCGCTGCTGCAAGCAGCAGCAATGAATGTATGTGCTTGTATAAGAACAGTAGGAGCAAGCCCGAGGGCTTCCTCTCTTTTTAACATAGCTTACCTCTCTGTTAACCAGCCAGGACCACTCCTTTAAGACATACAGATCAGGTTTTAGCATGTGGGCTACTACATGCTACTGGGCTACTACATTAACACCGAGAAGTAAAAAGTGCCTTGGGTTTGCTGGGTATGCATAAAAGAGCAATGGCCACTTCGAGCCAATGCTCCCCAGATAATGAGGTGCCCTGACGTACACCCAGTGACTGTGCCACCAAGGAAGTGACTGCAAAGTTCTCATTGCTCACGGATGAGGTCCATAACTGTTTTTACACCTTCTTCTCTAAATAAGGAAGCTGCCTGTTTGGCCTCCGACAGCCCAACCGATTTGACTCTGTTGCTTTCACCAGCCAATGAAACCCCACTCCTGCCTCCGTCTTGGGTGACAGCATTCATCAAACCTCAGCCAGCCTGGGAGGACAGCAGGTTAGTGTTACAGCCATGGCAGGCTTACCTCCGGCAAGCTGTTGATGTCAGAGTGATGATGTGGGGAGGGACAGCCTCTGCACTATAAAGATGGCTCAATCAAATATAACTGAGGCTGCCCACTGGAGAGCAGGATCTACAAAACATGGTCCCCACCAGTTCGAGTCCTGCCGGCCTGTCTCTGCTTCCAACCCAACTGCTATCGGGCTTTAGTTTCATGTCAGCAATCTCTATTTGCTTTCCAAAAATAAGCCTCTGCCACCATGCTGAAGGGAGAAAAACAAGAAGGGCGGTATTTTTAGGGCTATTAATTCTGACCACGTGCCCAGGAGGTGAACCGGATGGCCACTGCACAAAGACTTCTCATCACTATGCCCTGCGAAGCCAGCATTCACCGGACGTTGCCTGCTTTCATTCTCCTGGGTTTTCTAACTGGGATTGCTTCAACACATCCAGTTGTAAGCAGATCTAATGGCACACTGCTGGAAAGAGGATGGCAATCATCTCTGTTGTCCAGGTCCATTGCTGGGATGTCAGGGGAGAAGTCAGATGGCAACTGGGAGAGTGACTATTTGCTAGGAATCAAGAGGCAGCGGAGGCTTTACTGCAACGTGGGCATCGGGTTTCACCTTCAAATCCTCCCAGACGGAAGGATAAGCGGAGTTCACAATGAAAACCAATACAGTGAGTTGCATCCAGAAATGAAATAGATGTCACTTAATTGCTGTGAACTGTAGTAATTACCCTTCACAGAATGCAAATGTTATTACTTGATATTATTAATCTGTGCTACGTCTGTTGCCTTTTAAAAGTCTCTGGGATCAATAAACATTAGAACCCTCCAGGCTGAAACATGTCACAAATGCTTAGACAAATTTAGATACAATTTATTTTTACTCTGCTTTACTGCACAGATGAGAAAAGACAAACCAGGTTGAAAATCGTCTCTCTGCTGCATTTCCTCACTCCTCACCTTCTCATTTGCCTTTTGAATGTGAGAGGTTGTCGCTGAGCTCAGAGTGCCAAAATATGGTTTTTGAACCCTAGCTGACTAGTACTTCTGGGGCACTTGGGGCTTACTGTTCCTGGTTTTCTTGTTCTTATGGGTGCTCTTCTGCTACTGGAAGACTAACGAAAAGCTTTAGTCCTATGGATTTGAAGTTTCTGTAGAGAGCAGTTGCTAAAATCCTTTGCAGCTAAGATACCATAGGGGACTTCAAAATACAAGCCACACTTCTCTGAAGCTCAGTAGCTAACACTTTGTAATTATAGCATATTAGATACAAATAATTGGCTTACTGGAAAGCCCAAGAGTTTGACAGATCAAAAGAGTTTCAAAGAGCAAAATAATTATACAGCTTGTGGTTACAATTCCGAAATAATTGTTTTAAAATCCTACAGCATGTATTAAAAACCCCAGAAGTTTCTTTGTGTATTTCTGTTTTGTTGTACTAGGGAGACAATTCTAATAATGGAATATGAAGAGTTCATTAGGGTTTTTAAATAAACAAATTATAGCTGAGTTGCCTTTGATTAGCTCTAAATTCTGTGATAATACTTCTTATTTTTTAGGTCTCTTTGAAATATCCACTGTAGAGAGAGGTGTCGTTAGCCTGTTTGGTGTGAAAAGTGCTCTCTTCATTGCAATGAACAACAAGGGGAAGTTGTATGGAACGGTGAGTACAAATGCAAATACTTTTTCAAGGATTAAGCAAAGGCTACAAAGGTTCTGTATGTCTTTTTTCCTTCTGGAAATCCCTGATCACAAGCAGAGAAAATAGCCTTTCAAGTACAGGGAGCCTGCCCAGCCTAGTGTCATCTGTGTTATTTAGTCCAACTGGCAGCATGGCTGTTAGAGGCCTGTTATTGTAAAGCTTTCCAGTAAGACTGTAGAGGGAGCACACTAGGAAAATAAATTTATTCTGCAAATAGCACGGATTAATTAGATTGCTCAACACTGCAAGACTGAACCTTGTTGATTCCCTTTGTCTATAAAGCAAAAGGGTGTGCTCCGCAACCCCTACCCCTGAGGTCAAGTGTGTGTGTGTGTGTATCCATGCGATTTCATGCATATGTGTGTGCATACAGGTTTGTGTAGGAAAGGCACAATCAGAGCCATCTAAACCAGCTACCATTAGTAAAATCATGACCACATGCTTCCCCTTACCAAAAACAACCACACCAAGAAGAATAAATAGTAAATCTACCCTACAAAGTCAACATATGCTCTTGGGGTTATTTTAATGACCAGTTTTGTGAGATCAGTCTGAAAGGGTGAGAAAACAATAACAGGTATTAACAATGGTATGCAGGTCATACTGAAATGTCATCACCATCATCCTCATCTAGAAACTGCTAACTATGACACTGAAATGCAATTTAATCTCCAAGGCATAAGCAAGGCAACTTCAGTCTCAACATTCAGCAGAAAAGTGCTTGTTAGGAAGCAGGTTTGCAAGAGGTTGGCTCTGGGTGATAGGCAAAAGCAGTCCATCTCCAAGTAATGAATGGCACTGACTCGTTCATTTCTTTTGCCAAGAATTAACAAAGCCGTTTCCTTTGAAACAGCTGTACTTTCAGCAAAGCATTTCAGTTGCTTAATAAAACACCAAATGTTGCAAAGGACACATAGCCATTCCTGATCTGACTGATTCCTTCTCACAGATAATGACAATGGGACGTTCTAGGGTTCCACCCTAGGAGTATTCTTTTAATCATGTCTGATTTCAAGCACCTAAAAAATGCTGCAAGTCCAACTGCTTTGCTTGGCTAGGTCTTTCTAAAGAAATGTAGTGACTGTCTTC